CGACATATCAAATTTTCAATTGTCCATATAAATAGTTTGTGTAACAATGATTTCGGAATCTATCGGATACGAGTTTCTGCTATGCTTACTATTTACTTTGCGCACTTATTTAAAGTTTATATCAAAATGGCATTTGGTTAATACCACTACCAAAATTAATTATGTATCTAATTACTGCTTAAAATTTCAAGATTTTCCTGATTATGGTTAAAATTGCCAGATCATTTTACCAGATTTAAAATTGGATTATTATAGATCTGGCTAAATGATCTGCAAATTTGGCCAGAATTATGAACAATCGGTTCCTCTATTTATTAGATGATACAGACCTGCCGATATGATTTAATACTGAATTATGCTGTGATTATTATTTTGTCAACCAGGACATTAAAAATCTGGCATCGGCTAAAATTTAGCCGGCTGGCTAAGACCCTCGGGCTCGGCTACGGCTATAGCCGGCTATAGCCGTAGCCGTTCTCATCCCTAATCTCGAGGACAGAACTCGCTTATTACTGTAATAACTACGAAAAAAAAGGTGCTAATACTTTTTAGTCAAAATAAAAAGATCTGCATGATTATTCCTTGTCGGGGATGATGCCGAAACGGGATTATGCTGAAATTCACGTGATCACATGATGATCTCCTGCTTTTGTCAAATGAGGTGCGTCACGCTGATTATTAAACCTAGCTAGTCACCAAGCTAAAAAATTTCGCTGTTAGTTTTAGAGTTTAGATATGCTTTTTTTTTGATTTTGCGTATTTATTATACCTGATCCCACCAGTGTGGTTAATACTAATAGAAAACTTTTTTATTTTTGGCTGTTAGTGTTAGGATTTTGGTATATTTTGTCGTATGTTATATATACTTGGGTGGTTAAAATTTCGCTATCTAGTCAAATCAAAACAAAAACATACCCAAACCATAACACTAACAGCAAAAGTTTTCTATTGGTAACCTAGAGTGACGCACCTCATTTGATAATAGCAAATGATGGACATACCTCGGATTTGTTTACAGTATACGGAAGATAATCATGTGATCACGTGAATTTCAGTATCATCCGATTTCAGCATCATCCCCGACATTCCTTTTTCGCGATTATATAGAATAAAAGATGATATATGTGGTGTACATGTGATGCATTTTAATAATTGACAAATCGAGTTTATCTCTTAGATAAACGATGTGCTTTGTTCATTAAATGTATTTATATCGACTCGTAACGGTTAAAATAAAAGTAATGTATACTATATTTTTGCAGTATTAATAATATAATGTTTTTCTATAATAATTTTAATTTGAAGTTATTCATTTTTTTATATTTAGCAAGGTATGTTTCCTTTGTTACCTGCCGTAGTGCACCTACTCCACGAGGTGCACAGGCTAGTACATTAATTGGTACTAAACTTTACTTCTTTGGTGGAAGCACTTCTTCATCCGCCCTTAATGATGTATGGTATCTTGATTTATCAAATTCATTTAATACAAATACGCCTCCATGGAACAAAGATGTTGAAATGCCAATAGGATATGTCTTTGGTACATCATGTACTAGCCCTATTGATAATTCCACTGCGTTTATAATTGGTGGAAGAGCATTTACTCCCAATACAGCAAATTCCACTCGTTCTAATTCCCCGGTATATACATTTACCTCCAAACCTTCAAAATGGATAGCGATAACGACTATTAGTGGATTCAATGCTACTTTTTCACAACGTAGTGAATTGCAAGCTGTTGTTAATAATAATGGAAAAATTTACATCTTTTCAGGTGCAAATTTTTACACGTCAGTTTTTTATAATGATATGAATATACTTGATATTACTACTATGTCTTGGACGACACTAACTCAACCTTCGAGCGTTGCTGCAACTATTGATTACGCTGCAGTATTATTGCAAAATGGTCTAATTATTTATGTCGGTGGGCGTCAAGCTGATGGAACTTACAACAGTATGAGTCAAGTACAGTAAATTAATTTTTCTTATTTTATAATTTATAATTTTCATTTGTTATGCTTTTTTCTTTTTTTAAAGCTTTCTTTAATATCAAATGTAGATTCAAACATTTGATACAAAATCTTACACCTGGTCTACTAAAGTAATGTATATAATCTTAAAACTGTATAGGGATGGGTTCGGTTACGATTATTCATAGCCAATTTGCTAACGCTAAATACTGAAATGATTTGCCATTAATTAAAGTTGTTTATAATTAAATTCTGCTCATCCCATCTTATTAGTGGAAAGGATGGTACCTTCTCTGGGGCTCGGAATTTCAAATTAATAACCGGTTATTAACTGCCGGCTAATAACCGATTATAACGATAACAAATTTTGAAATTCCGAGCTCCAGAGAAGGTATCATTCTTTTGACTAATAAGATGGGATGGACAGAATTTAAATCTGAACAACTCTAATTAATAGCTCAAAATTAAAAAATCATTTCAGTATTTAGCAAAATGGTTATGAATAATCGTAACCGTTCGTAACCGAACCCATCCCTAATACTGTATTATTATACTATATTATTGCATTTAATAATTAAACGTAATAACTTTTCCAATTTAGAATGTTGGTGGTTCTACTGTTCAAGTCCGTGTTGGAACCTCTGCCGTTTTAAGTATGCTGTGTATAAAGTGTTAAGTAAATTTCGACGTTTACTTTTACTAAATACATCTTTTTTCAATAGCACAAACTGGAAACATTATTATATATGGAGGTGCATCAGTAAATTCTAGTAGTTATATCACTAGCGTGCTTTCTGATGTTGCAGTATTAAATACAGATGCTTGGACTTGGACTACTCCGAGTATCTCGGGAACAAATTCTCCTCCACCACTCACAGACCATTCTGCTACATTATATGACAATTATATGATTCTTGCATTTGGTAATTATTTTATTTTAAGTCTTCATTTTTTTTTTTTTTATAAGTTATTAATCTTTATATATATTTAGGTCGGACTTCAGCAGAAACCACATTCACTAATAATGTTTATTTTCTTAACACACAAAATTATACCTGGGTTACTACAATATCTGTAAATACACCAACTACTCCAACTAAACAAACATCTACTGAAAGCAACTCTGCTACTGCATCGGCACAAAAGTCAAACACTAATAATTTATTCGTTGGAATTGGTATTGGTCTTGGTGCAATTATATTAGCTGCAATTGTGTTTACTACTGGATTATCGATTTATAAAAGACGGCAACAACGAACTAGTTTCACAGGTTTCACAGAAGCACATAATAGTTTGAACACTAGTATTAATGAATTATATGTGCCTATGACTACGCCTATGCCTCATACGTTGGGAACAACCACCAATAATAGTAAGAATACAAATATACGTGAATCAAACATGTATATACCTGGATCATATACGCCTAGTTATGCAACATCCATATCTGACAGTAATTACAGTTATTATCCAAGTAATTATCGATAAATTGCTATAGTGAACTCGTATAATAATTATTTCACCAACATATTTAAAAAAATAAACTATTCAAATTTATTAGCGTAATACTGTAATAATGCTGACTCGAAATTTTTCATATAAAAAAATTATAAAATAGTTATCTATTATCTTTTAACTTTACATCATATATTTCAATTTATTTTAACATTGTTAATGACTTAACTATGATTCTGATAATGATAAATTATAATGAACATTTTATAATAATCCAAACATAATATTAATTACTATTAGAAACAAAAATATACAGCCTTTTAATCTAATTAATAATAATTTAGTTACATTATAATAATTTGTTTATATTATAATAATTTATTAAAATTATAATAATTTATAGAGAATTTCTATTATTTACATTATAATAATTTGTTTATATTATAATTATTTATTTTATTATAATAATTTATAGAGAAATTCTATTTGTACACGGGCAATATCGATATCTCAAAACTTTGCTTATGAAACCACCTGTTGGCTTCTAACAAAAAAATTACTTGTGAAATTATGGTATAAGATAAGCTATACCTTGCCAAATCCCAAATCCACCCTTCACTCTAAGAAATAGTGAATGAGGAATACGACAATATAAATCGTATTTAAATTGCGAACTAAAGAAAATGAATATGGCAGTAAGATCGCTTTGAATTGTAAGAGAAAGGATATGAATGTGGCAGTAAGAAAATGACATCATAAGATTAGTAAATATCATGCTAGAGAGGGTGTAAAGCGAATCATATTCCCATGCATTTATTCCTATGTGTTTACCAACGAAAAGTGATCGAGCGATAATAATTATAGAGCTCGTTGAAAGGAATCTAACGGTGGTTAGATCATCAAAATTGACTGTCAGATAACTTCGAATTGACGAAATAACGAATGACGAAATTCATGATGAATGATAATTTTTGTATGTATTTAACGCAATAAATGTAAGCAAAATAGAAAATTCATTGAAAAATTAATGTTTGCAAAACGACAACGCATAACAATAAACGTTTTGGTATACCTGACATTTCCCGATGATCTTTATGTGTCCGATAGTTACGAGGAAGAATACTATCGGCAATAAAAAAAATCATTGGCCTCAGAGATTCAATCTAATGTTAAGTGAAATTAATTTTTATAACGAACTGAATATTTGATAGGAAAAGTTTGTTGTCAAAAAATTGTTGTGTTCATATACGCCAACGAAACTTACGAAATAACTGTAATTTTGAAAAAAATTCAGAATGTCAGGAGGTCGTTATAAAGAAACTCATTGAAAGAGGGGGAACTGTATTCTTAAATTTTATTGGTCTAATTAATTTCGTTAATAACTTCGTCAGTAATCTAATTAGTCAATTTTGTCAATCGTCAGCAATTTCGTCAGACGAAACCATTTCGTCATCGCAAAGATAATTTCATCACCCAACATTAGTAAATATCACGATATCGTTGAAAAACGATTGGCGATTATGTAAAATTCAATAGTTTGTTACATAGAATTTTACATAGTCAGCCGGTCATTTTTCGATGTCTTGATATATACTGGGCCGATTTTGGTGTTCTAGCCACCGTTAGATCGTCTACAACCTTACTTAGAGCTCGAAGGGTAGACGAAAAAAAGCTTCCTTGGGCAATTCCTTCAATATAATAGGATTTACATAGTAATTCTTTATATATTGTTCCGGTGTAGAATATTAAAATTTGGGTTTCGCAAAAGTAGTACATTTTTTTTTTAAAAAAAAAACATAATATTATTTATGTTCAACAAGGCTTTAACTACTTTGGTCCGATTATGATCCTAAAAACTTCCAACTTTTACTGGTGATATTGCCAATGGACAAACATGCAAAAGATTTGTAGTTTATTGTTTGAGTTTTTCTAGTGCAGATGTTCTGCGTCATTTCACAACTTAAGTCGATTCCTTAGATAAATCTTAAATTTGAAACAACGTTGGCCATCTCTCAGTCTGTGAAAATTTAAAAAATTGTGATCAAACGATCGCTCGTCGTGTGTCCCTTTCTCGCACACGACAGTCGTGACCAACCCTTCTCATACCTACAGACACATTCTTTTATCCATGGCAACAATACATCTGTGTATAATGACGTCGTGTACAATACGGAATAGAGTCACGGAACAAGCCGAAGGACGTTATGTGACAGAATTTTCGAGGATCGTATTGATTTTTCTTTTTTTTGGGGGGCGTGATTGAACACAATGTCAACGAACAAAAAAAAACCAATACAGATTATCTGGTTACTCAAATAACAAATTGTCATCATCGAGTTCAGTGACTTGCAATAATGTTCCGCCTGGTCAAAATTTCTTTAAATTCTCTGATTTTTGCAAATTGTCATCAACAAGTTCCGTCTTGTGACTCTGTTCACAAGTGGGTCAAAATTTCTTTATATTCTCTAATTTTTGCAAATTGCTATCGAAAATAATAATATTTCCAGAGATTCCCAATCTCCCAGCATAATATCCATTATTATTAGATCTTTCTGTAGGTTGACCAAAAAAATATAACTTTTTGATCTTTTTTTAACTATCTTACAAATTTTGAACGAAGGAATCTTATTAATACACCGTTTATTTTCGATGTTCAAGGCTATTTTCGAATTCTACAGATTATTATTAAATTCAAAAATAGTCTTAGATATTTAAATTAACGAGGGATATTATTGAGATATCTTCGCCCAAAGTTCGAAAACAGAGATAATATTAAACTTTAGCTAATAAGATAAATTTGATTACTACCGGTAATAGACTAACCTAATTTTTCAACCCATTATAGATTTGCATTTGAAAAATTCTTGATTCTCAGATTCTAACGTGGGGTATGATGCCTAAAATTTGCTGATCACAGTAATTTGAAAAGCGCAGTAATGTATGGAAGGAGTGGAGTGCACATTAATAAAATTTTTCGCAGCATAAAGATTAACAATGCGCTTTGCACACATCAAAATTTTATATGCTTTAAGTTTTGATTTATTATACGATTAACATTGTAATATATTAAGATTAATCAAGCGCTAGTAATCACCCTATTATCAATTGGATAACATTAAACATCAAATTTCAAAATTTTAATTTCAAGATATATTAGATATTTCTTCTATATATTGTTTTGTTCAGAGGTCAGAAGCTAATTAGGATATTACTAAAACGCACCTACGGTGTTTTACACCGATGTACGTATTATCTCATAAACTGGCTAATTAATCGGTATGAGGTGTTCTAAGTAAAAATGTTTTTTGCCCCCAAAAACCTTAATTCTAACTGCAAGTGCTAACCTTAATGTAAAAAAAATTTGTGTTAAAAATTTTATATAAAAAACTGTAAAACTTAGAAAAGTAATAAAAACATATGATAGGTGTAAAACATCATAGGTGCGTTTTATAATTATTGGTAAAATTTACTAATAGGGGGTTTCAAAGTTAAAATGCGGAAACCTAATTTTAATTTCAAATGAGCAATGTGTCAACCTTATTTCATTTTCCGATAAATTTGAAATGATAGTTTTTATCGTTGAAAAGCCTATTTATTGAGGTTCTCCTTTTGAAATACAAGATTTTTCAAATTCTCATTAATTTTCAAAATGCGCCACCCATTTGCTAACTTTAAAACCCCTAATCCAAAATTTTTCATAATTGATATTATTACTAATCTTTCGATTACTCACTAATTCCCGATTGAACAGGATGTTATTATTGCTAACCAAAGTTTTGCATTCACGGGTGAATAAATGCGACTAAGAAGATATTGCATTATGTTAAACGCTATGAATTCGAATAAACCTACTTAGATCCATAGGTTAACAATAGGTTCTTTATGCTCACTAAGTGAATTAGCACATATAAAATGCGTATTAAAAGATATAATTTAATGTTTATAGGGGTTTCAGAATTAAAAAAAAACAACGTATTTCGGAAATATGTGGGAGTTAAAAAATTTTTATTTACGTATTAAAATTTGAAACCGAAAAATGAAATGGAAGTGTTTAGAAACACTCATTTAACAAAATAAATAAATCTTTCAAGACAAGGATCATCATTTTAAATTTATCGGAAAATGAAATAAAGTTTACACATCGCTCATTTGAAAATGAGTACGTTATCTACGTGTATTTCTGTCAAAATTAGATTCCCTCACGTTAATTCTGAATCCCCCTTAATATTATAAGTTCAAATATCCTATTTAGATACTCTGCTTATAAAAGTTTTTATACTCATCAAATAAATTAACGTGGATAAAATGTTACAAACTAAAGTAGTAACTTAAATATGTCGATTAATAAAGAACTTATATATTCACCGAATAAATTACTGCGAAGAAATGAAGATGCTATTGTCAAATTACTTTCAAAGCAAATTTAGGATGATAGTATAAACGGACGCTAAGCGAAATCCAACCACAATATTAAGAACGTTTTAATCAATATACTTAAGTACACTTAATCCATAATATCAAGACAAACGGTTATTCGTAACATATAATAATGACCAACCATAATATTTAAGAATATGTAATTCATACTTTTTCCGAATTTTAATAAAAAGTAATGATACAAACGTTTAAATAGATGTGTTTTATGCATAAGTTTAATTAAATCGAAAGTATATTGTTCTCTAATCTACGAATGACACGTGAAAATACTTAGATTACTGTACTTATTCTACCATTTTTCTTATTAACAAAGGTTCCAGTGCTGCAAAACGTCACCGTTTTATTACCAGCTTAAATAAAATGTTTAACTTTTGTAACTTATTACTCTCTTTTGTATTATTTGTTGTAAGTATAATAGGAATACAAGTAAGAACACAAATAAGAAATACAAATAAGAAATGCGATATAGAAATCACGATAATTTATAGTTAGTAGGATATGAAATGTAATAATTATGTTTTAAATAAGCGAAAGTTCTACAAGCTAGTCTAAAATTTATTATAATTACAATGGTGGAAATCGAACATCAGTTAAATTTTTAAAAGTAAGGTTTTAAGGGCAAAAATACCGTTCCTGATGGATCGTCGGTACTGTTCCTGATAGGGTGGGAAAAAAAATCGATTTACATACCGTTCCTGATAGGGTTCTAAAAAAGGGCCTCTAAAATACTATTCTACTATAATGCAAAAAGTTAGGATCAGGTTCGTTTTTAGGACCCTATCAGGAGCAGTACTCAAATAAAATTTTTTTTTAACTCCATCAAGATCGGTATTGCCGATCCATCAGGAATAGTATTTTTGCGTTTTAAGGTTTTTCACTCCGCTCCAGTCCAATTAATACAATTCCGTGCTTAACGACGCTGGTAACTACTAGTTTCTTTAAATTTAATGATAAAAATAATTTCTTACTTGAATTCGATAGCTATTATAAATATATAATCTGGTCAGATTTAAAATACATTATTTACTAAATTTTAATACTTAACAATTTATTAGATACGCTTTAAGTTAAATTCATATAAACTAATTAAGAGGAATTGTCGACTACATTAAGGGAGAGGCGCACGAAACTCGAACCTATCTTTCAACTCGACACCTTTTGAAAGTTTTTCGGCTTTACTTATTAGATTACAAAGTTGAAACCAGCTTCGAATTCATAAATATCAGAAC